TGTACAGAAAGTTAGTCTCCTCCAGCTGTCCTCTCTTACTTTGTGGGGGGGAGACATTTGGGGAAAGGCCAAAATGCAGATACTCACTAAGTATCCAATTTTTAGTTCAGCATGTCCTAATCAGCTTTTACAGAGCTGCTCTGCTCTGTACCAAACGTGCTATAAATGTGCAATACGCGCAGTACATGTAAATAAGTCACACTCCCTGTGGTGATGAGAACAAGATGACCACATATTTCAATAACTGCAGTATGCTGCAGGTAATAGATAGTCAGCATTGTCTAGTTGTTTCTCAGCTAGCAGGCAGCTAGAGCTGCTGAATACTATGGCTGTCTGTATATCATTTCAGATTCCTGATCATACATGTTTATGAAAGTTCTCCAGAAGTCCATCACAGATGGACAACTTGTGTCAAGATCCATAGACTGGAGCCAGATAGCAAGAAGTGGATCTGCTCTGTAATCTGGTCTTTCTCCTGAGGAAATGACCATAGATCTATTTACCTGTCCATCAAATCATCAAAATACAGACATCATCTGTCATGTTCCCTCACTCTTATTATGTGGTATGGTATGCCTGTTTTGTGATCAGGTAATAGATGAACTTCTGGCCATGTGCTGAGAAAGGTCTTAGGGAATACAGTCGTCAGGTGTCCTTCTGCAAATGTCATGTGCTTATGTGGTTGCCCAAGACATGGCAGGGGAACTGTGTGCATTTGAGCTTGTGGTTGGCTTTTTCTCTGTCCCGCCTTAATCACTCTAGTTTAGGTTCTCAAAGGTACAACTGCCTCTTAAACTGATTTCTGAATGAAAACTGAACTGTTGATAACTGGAAAACTAATAAGGTTTAACCAAATGCCTGTGAGTTTCTAGAAAATATAAAGCTATCCGTTATGAAGAAGCGAATTCAAAACAGCTACTTACTAACCCTCATATTATGATTAATCTGAGTATCAAATAGAAGTAGCAGCTGGGGAGCTTAAAAAACAAAACAAAACATGGGGATGGTGGGGGATGGATGTTTCTTCCTATAAACTGAAATTCTGTGGAATTTCTTGCTACATGATGCTGTGAGTTGCCAAAGTTTTACTGGTTCAAAAAGACATTTGATGAATTCATGGGACTGGGGTGTCCATCACAGGCTATTAAATGCCAAGATACTGTTTGCAAAAAAGCCATTGAATACATTTTATTCTGGTTACTCAGAGCATAAGACGGAAAGTAACTGAGAAGTTAGCCTTTTTAAAAAATATTTTTTAAATAGTGTGAGTGGAAATAGATATTTAGAATGAAGTCATGATTTTATAAAATTCCATCAAATTAGAAATTAATATAATCTATTGGTCCTTTTTTTCAGTAAGTGCATCTTGTTTTGATACTCAATATGTCCCTTACAGGTGCCTTCAGAACCTTAAAACTTCTCTAACACTACTGCTGGAGTATGCAATTTATGGATAATTAATAAGGTTACATAGATTCTGTTACTTGCTTATTCTAGATATCCTAGATATTTGGAGCTAATATTTTTAGGTATATTTAACCTAATAATGATTGAATTGCTCAGGACAGAATTGAAGCCGTGTCACACTACAAAAGTTTTTGGCTTAATCCATTTACTGAATTGTTAAGCAGGTACTCTTGTGCTTTCTGCCTTTAGGCTCTTCAAAAATTACAGTCTTTATGTTATAAATGATTCTGTTCTACATGGTTAACATGACATGTTCATATAAGACAAAATACTCTCCAGTGTAAATTAGGTCTACAGAATTTACCTAAATGTTCGTTGAGTATGAAAGTTCTACAGCAAGGCCTTTTCCTAATGCATACATTTATCAGCTAAAATCTTGATTGTTATGCCTGTATTATGTCACTCACGTCTGGAAAGAACAGCATCCTGCTGTTTGTGAAGCTGATCTCCTGCTGCTACTTAGCCACTTGTAGGATTCTATCCCAATTCCTCTAATCCACTCTGTTTCAATAGCACCATATTTGGACTCCTTCACAGATTCTTTTGCTGCTCTGTTTGGGATGCTCTATGAACTGAATTAGAATTGTAATGTTCCATTTAAAACAAAAGGAACCTTTTTTTTAAACGAGAGTATAAGGAGTCTCCTCCTCTTTCTCAGATAGAATTTATACACAGGCACTATATTGTTTCCTTTAAACTATTGTCCAGAAATTTGGGGCACTATTTCAATATATTGCTCTACGTTATATAAATCAGATCCAATTATTTGAGGTTTTTTGTTGCAATAAGGCCTGCTACCATCTTAAATTGTTTCTTTCCCATTGTGACTCCTCATTCAGAGTTCAGTGCTCTTTGTTTCCATTATGTCGAAGGTTTACTGATATCTATTTGAGCTCGTTTATGCAAGTCAGGCCTAATGAAAGCAGAGAACCAAAAGGACTCCGAAAATGGTGTTAGAAATGACACCAAGCCAGGAAGTGTGCTGTAGATATTGTTGCCTTACTTTCAACAAGTCAGCAAAGATTTGCATATGTATTCTGACACTAGCTATTTTCTGATCCTCACATAAAGCAAGGTTTTGAAAAAACAAAGCTTGCTTGGTATACTTATATATACATTGTCTGTTACTTTCCTTCACAGCTAAGTCTGTTAACTTCAGTGGAACTATTTGAGGCTAAGATAGCAATTGAAAACACAGGATAGCAGACTGTCATCCTTTCTAATGTAAAGCTCCTAGGCTTATAATTGGTTTAAGGATTGTTCTTTAGTGAATGGGATTTAGTTTACTGAAAAATAAAAATGTGGCTGAATTATGATGCTAATTTCACTCTATGAAAAGAAAGAAGTTCCTTGGATGCATTGTAATATTGCATGAGTTTCTGTTGCACATTTTTAATACTTTTCAGTGCAGTATATCTAGTTTACTGAAATGAAGAAAGAGCATAAAGACATTATCCAGGTGAAACATATTTCAATAATTACACAAAGTGAACTTCCCACACTGGAAAATTTAGAATGGTTTTTAGAGCATGTACCATGTTTGTTTTAGCTGTAGCTTTCTGCAGGCCAGAGTTCCCTCAGTGTGCTGGATTATCATCATCAGAAGCCACTGGCACCAAGACCTGATGAGAATCATCATCTCATGGATGAGGTTAGGGATGCAAGTGGAAACTGGAAAAGACAATGGCTACAGCATTTTGATAATACATAAATTGCTATCAAGTTTTACAGCTAGGAATGGAACAGAGAAGATAATGAAGAAAAAAGACTTCAGAAAGTGAAGGTGAAAGAGGAAGAGAGGTAGAGAAGTATAGAAGGAAGCAAAGGAAATCATACTGAAGAAAAGAAAGTGGGACAAAGAAAAAAGTATTATATGGCCTCCTTGCTTGCATTTGGCAAATGTGTATATATGATTTGTTCACAAATGTGTTAGTATTTCTAACGATAGAAACATGTAAGACAGGGAGACATTTAGAAGTTTCTATGAAGAAATATAGTTCATACAATACAAAATAGAGATTTGTAAGCAATTTGTCTAGGCAATATCAGCTTGAAGACTTGTGGTTCTGCTGCTCCTTCTCTGTACTTCAAAATTAATTGAAAGCCTCATTGTTTTGTTTGAACTGTGAAAGCTTCCAAGGTCAATGAGTGAGGTAATTGACCTGCCTGTTGTAGGACAAAAATATGTATGTTAAATTGCATAATTAGTTTTAATTACATAATTATGGTGTTTAATGTGTGGGGGTCAAAGGTTACTATTACATTTAGAAGTCATGGCAAGAAACACAAAAATAAGCAACACAGTTTAATTCTGTGTTTCTCTGGGTTTTAAAAAAACAGGGTCCACTGTGATCTATCCTTGACCTTGGATATTTGATGATTACAGCAAATAATATACTGCTGTTATAATTTTTGGAATCATAGAGACACCTTTGTAAATGACTAAGTGACTTTACGAAAGAGTTCATTTAGGTTTAGAGTACACAAAAGTTAATCAACAGTGGGAACTCAACTGACAGCAATTTAATCTGATTGGGTAAGGTAATTACATGATTACCAGGAGTGTTTATATATGGACAAGGATATTTTTATTGGAAAAAAAATGTAATTGCTTTCTTATTGAGAAGAGTAAAAACCAAACAAATTTGTTGTCACAGGTTAAGAGGACATCCTTCATTCCTTGAAATAGCTTCTTTTCATGTTTTAGGGACAAAATGGACTCATAATTCTTTGCACATTTGCACTGGGATTTTGTTACGAGTTCCTCTGTTTCTAAACTGGAAATAATGACATCATTAACTTGTTTTGTTTAAGAAGCTCATTGCTTACACATTAAGTGGGTGATACCCTAAAGATGTCATGATGCTTTTAATTCATGATCTCTCTTAGGATGTGTAAATACTGTTGCTTAAGTACAGGTTGATTTCACCAAACCTAAACCTAAAGGTCCATTATACTAATGGATATTTCTGGGAAGGAGGGCGTTATTTGTTTTTCTGTGATGGTAGATAAAAGGTCGTTTACCTAAATGCTAGAAGAAAAAGTCTCACTTTAGGTTCTCGGAATGGTCCTTTAGAAAATGCTCTTTCAGCCTATTGACAATGGAGTGTTTGGAGATGAATCTTCGTTGAGAAACATTAAGCTCTCTGCATATTTCCCTGAAGTGCACTACAGGGTAGAAGCCCATTTGACTAATAAATAGTGGCTTGCTCCAAAGCACTTTGTATGGTTGTGTTAGACACCAAAAAATGAAGTTGAAACTTACGAGAATAACTTGGTATCTCGTCAGTACACATTCTGCCAATGGAAATGGTATACAGTGCTTTAATGGCTAAGTGCTAAGGAATTAAACAGTTTATGAACTAAATGTTAAATATGAAATAAATGAATTTTTGAAATTAACTATATAATTATGGGAAGAAGTTCTGTTACACATTCCATGTTTTAAAAATTATTTGTTCTCCCTTTTGCTAACTTTTCCCTAAATAAGTTCTTTAGAAAAATTACAATTTTGAATTGTTTTTCTAAACCAGATGATCCAGTCACTGTTGGAGGCACATAGCCACGGCAAAATCTCATGCTGTACATTGATCACCTGTCCAACCTTTGCCTAGAGTGTGATCCCCAGTTCCTTCAAGAGATCCATCTTTACCTGTCTATAAAGAAGAAGAGGAGGGAGACATCTGGGATATTCAAGTATCAAAGTTTAACACCAGAGCAGGTTGAATCTCTGTTTATATTATTCTCTATATATGTTGCTAGCATTGAGTTGGATATTTGACTGAAGATTTTTTCAGTAAGTTTATAGTATGCTCTGAAGTTTTACCAGCGTTAAAGCATTTTTATTTAGACTTCTCACTTACCAAACTACACACACATTTTTCATAGTTCCATGCTGTGAAATTGAATCCAAAGTCATTCTGGTATGTAGGAAGTTAGTTAATACTGAGCATGCCTGGCAGATTGGGCCTGTTTCTTGCACATGTGCTGACCACAAAGACCAAAATGGCTTGCTTTAAAGCTGTTCAGTGTACTGTAGTTTTACCATTACGTATTTAGCACATGCAACTAAATTCCTAACAAATACACTAATTTTCATTCGCTTGCTTCAGGCAAGTTAAACTTGCTTCTTACTCTTCCTTTTCCATTTCCAAGAGGACTTTGATATCCACAGAACAGACAAGGTTTCACTTACTGTCCTAAGGACTGCCCCTTTAGGAGTCTAGCACAGCCCACACACAATCCTGGAATATGTCCAACTTGTTCTTTGAGCAGAATGTGAACCTCTGACCTTCTAGGCCTCCGGCAAGAGTGCTGCCTACTGAGCCACCAATACCCAGGCCATCAATAAGTTTTAAATGCCAGTTGCAGACTTCACAGAGATAATGACTTCAGTGTGTAAAGGTTTTGTTGTGGAGGCTGCAGTCTCACATATGGCGTGACAGAGTAAATACGCTAAAACCATAGAGAGCTGTTGCATAACTTGCCTTGATATAACAGGTTTTGTAATATGTTTTAAGGCATGGAATATTATTTAAAGGGACCCTGTTATGTAGACTTAGGCCCAAAATGAAGCTATTATATAAAGAATGTTTAGCAAAAACAGAAATATATCCATGAAATTGTTGAAGTGGGAATTTCAGGGTAACCTTCCTTGGATTTAAACAGTCACCTTCATGATACTGCACTGTTGTGCTAGGGAATGAGAACCAGCAAATGAAAATACTACGAAGTGAAAATCAGAAACTGAAACTGAGAAGAATTAAGATATTAGAAGTCTCTTACTCTTGTTACAACTTCTTAAAAATCTTACCACATCCTTAAAAAATGAATTCTGATTTAGTAACTCAAAGCATTTATTTACACAGGTAAATAAATGTGTTTGCATTTTAATGTTGGTTTTAACCTGCTCTCAAGTAAGTTGTTGTATTTTGTGCACTTATAAGCAAAATTAATTTGAAATGAACTTTAGGGTTTTAACACATTCCAGTTTTATTGATGTTCTCTGTTTAAAAATTAACATTTAAAACATACAAAAGACATGTTGATGTATGCAAAATTCAAATTGATAAATGTGGTTGCACAAAATGTTATTTATAGACTTGGATGAAGAAGGGAAATGTAGCAAGAGTCAAGCTAGGACTTACATTATGGAAAGACTTGGATAAATTGCATGAACCTCCTATGGAGCAAAGGCCAGAAGCCCTAGACTCCTTTTCCCAGCTGAGTGTCCAGATCACTAGGCTACAGACTCTTGCTCCCTCTTGTGTTCTTTCTCTGGCCCAATAAATCTCAAATTATTTTCTGTACATTGATACAGCTTCAACAGGAGAGCTTTTACATATCCCTATCCTCATCCCAGCATTTAACACAGCCTGTGGCCCATTGATTAGAACATTATGCTAAAAGACATTGCTTTGAGTCCTCAACAGATTTGGACCTGGGGGTTTTGCTTCTGGGATGAGTACTCCCGCTGCTAGGCTAGGAATCACTGCTGCTCATGTACCATTTTAGAAAGAAATAGCACCTAAAGAATTTTATAGGAAACGCGCCTGGTTGGTGTTTATTAGGCTGGCTTTGAGAAGACCTGTTGGATCAAACTCCTCAGATCATCTATGCAGGGGTGGGCTTCATGTCTAGATCCCAGTCAGGCTTAGGCATAAGCTGTGCAGTGAGATGTTCAGTCCCAGCCAGGTAGATAAACTCCCACTGTGTACAGAGATGCAGCTTCCCTGTCTTGCCTTTTTTATCATTGAAAAGTGTATTGTCTTCAGAGGATAGACATCTCCAGGATGAGATAGGGACCTTGAGGATCACCATTTTGGCTGAAGGTGCCTAAATTCCCCTCAAGTCACATTTTGAATTCCGTATTTTTAGGCCTGTGATTAGTTTATTTTAATTTAACAACTCCTTTGAATATAGAACTGAGGGATTTTATGAACCTGTTTTTCAAACAGTTTTAAAGTTAACTTTTAAAAAGTGTGTTATAATTAAACAAGATGATGAGAAGAATTTGTGGTTCAAAAGTGCGTTGACAGTTGTGAGCCATAGACAAGCACACTGCATTTTGAATGTAAAAAGTGAGATCACTTTAAATGGGTTACAGCTTTTCAGCTGTGTAGAGCAGTGTGTATTAGATCTCAACTAGGGAATAATCAACTAAATTGACTGCATTGCAGTTATGAAGCAAATGGATATCAAAATTCCTAGGCTATCATTTTAATTTTTTTCAATATGTATGTTTTTATTAAGTCCCACAATGTGAATCCTTATTCATGCATTTATCTGCCTTAGTGAAATTATTCTGGTAAGTCAGTGTCTAAGATCAATTAGGATGAATCTGGTTTTCTTTTTAATAGAAATGCTAATTTTGAAAATTGCATCTTTGAATTGTTTTTAGGATGAAAAGATATAGACAGTGTAAAATTAGAACTGTAGATTTCCCTGGCAATTCTTTTATTATTGTTTCTACCTGTTTAAAACACTAGAGGAATGATTCATTACACATTACTTTTCTGGTAGTAGATGTATCACCTAGTTTGATAGCCAAATGTGAACTAATGCTGCTTTATAGTATGGAAGATTGGAGGTGTTGGAGGTGGGAAGAGAAACTTACATTCAAGAGAGGCTGTTGCTTTTAAAGAGAAGGTTTTTTGTGTCTCACTAGTGTCTATTTGCATCGCAGTGGAGCTTTTTATATAGTAGGATAGCGGTCAGCAGAAATAGGAAGGATGCAATCCATATCCTGGTTATTGACTGGGTAGATTTATGTACAGTTCATTTGGCAGCATTTATGTTTCCACATACAAAATTTTCACTTTCTCATAGTCTGTCTTTAGAAGGGCTACCCTGTGCACAATTTAATGCCATCTCCCCTTTCACAGTGAAGAGAAATTAAATTAATACAGATTCTAAGTCAACACCATGTTAATGATTTTATGTGCATGGGGACCTACTAGTTTAGGGAACTACTTAGCACAGTGTTGATTTGATTGCGCTACAGAAGTGAGTGTTAGTATGTTAAAGGAGATGCTTAGGTATGACTATTATGAATTTGGGATAAACAGCTAAAAAAACTCCACTGTTCTAATGACAGAGAAGGATAGAGAGAGTTTAAAGAAAACTTGGAAAGCTGAGTAGGACAGCAATGAAATGGAAACGTTTCTACAAAGGGGAAAAATTTCAAATGCTAATAGAGTGGTAAACTTTGGAGGTAAATAGAGGTCTTCAAAAATGAATTTTGTATAATTATGGATAAACTGTATTATATGATTTTAGTTGATTTGAAGCAGTGTAATATGAATGCTGTTGTGTTTTCCCTTCATCAATTTTAGATCAGAAATGGTTTAATTTTATTGCTTATTTTGTTATTTTTATTTTATAAGTGAGGTTTGTTGATGGATGATTAGTAGCAGTGATTCACCAGCCTTTAATCACTTGATATCTTGAACAGGAAAAGATTGCATAGCCTGATCTCACTGTCCCCTCTTTAGCATTGCCACAGAGGAAAAAAAAGACTGTTTACAGATGTCTGAAAGGTATTTGCATTTGCTCTTGGAAATGTTGAAGCTGCTAGGGAATTTTTCAAGTTAACAGTTTCTGATAGAAATTATTGCTGTATCAAACCTGAGAACTCTCGTGACAAGGGTACTTAAAAAAAACATCTAGGAAGCTTTAATTTCAAATAGCAAATAACTGATTTATTGAAAATGGAACTGCTCAACAAGAAAGCTTGACAGAAATCTGCATTACAATACCCAGAAACTAATAGTTAGGGCATTATCCTTTAAGACATGTGACTTTGGTTCAATTTCCTTTTTTGAATCCAGTTGAATAGAGACTTAAACCCAGTTGAATATCTAATGCATCCAAGGCAACTGTCATTACCATTGGACTATTGTCCATAATAGGTTGGGTATCTCTGCTTTTGTAGAACTTGTGAAAGGATTTCTCCTAATACTAACAAGACCTTTCTGAAATCTCCAGAAAGGCTAGGAAAGAAACTTTGTGCCTAGTTTTATTCATAACCCCCAGGCTCTGAAAAAATGCCTGTAATAATCGTTATTTTATATATTCATACCAGACAGCATTTATTAATCTGGACTCTAAACTAAATCTCAATCTCAGACTCTCTATATATCTGTCTCTCCATGCCTCGGTGAGTCCTGTCAGCTGTCTCGGGTTTTTCTGTTTTTTCTATATCCATACTTTCAACAGTTCTACCAAATTACCCTAGAGGTAGTACTTGGGATATAGCACAAATGAATTTAATGACATTTTCAATATAGTTTTATATCTCTTTTTTTGCGTGTTATACTTTACTATGACATGGTAAACGCAGTGGTGATCACTGTTTCTAGTTGAAATGTGCACTTGCTGAAAAAAAATTTCCAAAACCTGTTGTAAGTAATTTGATTGTGATTGGGACTTTATTTTGGAAAATGCAGTCAGTGATGGATTCCATGGCACTACAGGAATCAGGATTGTTTTGTGCCCTGTCAATGTGTAGGTATTCTTCTGAGATTACCAGAAGGGATCAGTTACCTTGGTAATGTGTCCACCAATATTTATTGTGTCTTATTTCTTTACACAGCCTAACAAACATTCATCATGTGGGAACGTTGGTCATGATCAACTTGAGCTGAATTTAAATCGATGACCTAAAGGTTAAAGTCTTTGTATCCCATTACCTCTCCCTTGGGCTGTCCAGTCCCCCTACAG